AAACCGACAGATTAAAATATACTGTTATATTCAACAAAGTATTCATTTACGTTATTGTAAAATCTGTTACAATTACTAAAATAATAAAATAATTAATTAATAAAATAGAAAATAATAAGCTGACTTGGATGAAGAATTTTTTCTGACATCAGTAATAATTGTCACAATGAGGCCTCATGGAATTTAAATAAAAGACAATATCAATACAAGAAGTACCTTTCACAAAATAACACACTCAATGAATATGTTGCTCAATGTAATGAGTCTGACCATAGTTTCGATTTAAAAATGCTTCTTTAATTAATTGAGAAAGCTATACGGAAATATATAAAAAGTGCCTTGATCTCTTAATCATCCATATTAAATGTAAGTCTAAGGGTCCCTGCGATGATTAATAAAGAGCAGTTTTTGCTTTAGAGGCGTTAGAATTAACAAGCTAAACTTTGTTCATGTTAAACAGACTCTAAGTCGTATTTTTATATCAGCTACTAATTTATCCTTATCGATCTGATCAGATTTAGTTTCGATACAGGAGTAAATGGTTGTATCATCAACCTAGATACCAAATTGATTTCTTTTTATTATATTTTTACAAAATAAAATCACAAAATAATCTTTCCATATAACTTCTTTTTGAGTTTGTAAAATTAACCAAGTCCTTTTTAATTGATTTTATTTGAAGGTGAACGTAGGAGAGGACACCATCTTAAAAAGTATCTGGACAGTATCAAATAAGGTACAGCGATGACGATACCAGAATTGCTGCCATTGATGGACCATTGTGGAGGGAATTCAGTCTAGCTTCTGCATTCGGATCCTCCCCCTACGATTACGAAAGTCAAGGGAATGATGATGATGATGATGATGATGATGATGATGATGATGGTGGTGGTGGTGGTGGTGGTGGTGGTGGTGGTAGTTTCGGTTCGATGAATATTACTGCTTATATATACCTTGGTCGCTAGTTCACTCTGGGTAAATTTACTTCTTACAATGTTTCGGCATTCTTGGAAGATCATCAGTTATTACAATGTAGGATATTTAATAACAAAGATGATGGAAACAAAAAGAAAAAGAATTTAAATACATATAAGTTGTCTTATATAAGCCAAAACCCCGAACACAGAAAAAATATAAACTTCCGGCAGTTTAGCTACAACTTCAAACACAATACTTAAAACCTTGTCCGAAATTTGGAAAAATATAAATTAAAAAAATAGACAGGCAGAACTTGTCGGTTATTGTTAATCAATCTGTACAAATCGCTGCTTTGGATATGTTACAAGGCACGAGAGCCTGCGCAAGACCATCATGCAAGGCACTTTTGTTGGTGGATATAGGAGAGGACGCCAACGCAAAAACTGGTTGGACAATGTCAACCAATGGACAGGGATGACTATACCAGAATTGCTGATGGATGCCGTTGATAGATTCTTGTGGAGGAGATTCAGTCTAGCTTCTGCATTCAGATTCCGCCCCCCCCTACGATTACAAAAGTCACAGGGATGATGATGATGATGATGATGATGATGATCCGACGACGACGGCGATGATGATGATGATCCGGCGACGAGAATGATGATGATGATGATGATGACGCCGACGACGACAATGATGATGATGATGATGACGATGATGATGACGCCGACGATGATGATGATGATGATGATGATGATGAATGGTAGAATATTTTTTTCAAATCATTTCACCAGGATTTTTTTTTTTTAAGTATTTTGAATTTTAAAAATGTGAATAATTTGAAAATAGTTAATTAGCGGCAAAAAAGTAATTTTTTACTACTATATTTTTTATTACTATAAAAGATACCATATATTTGAAATATTAAATTTAACTTTTTTCGTAAATATATTTGCCAATTTTAGGGAAATTTAAATACAGATCTTTGCGTCCTTTTCCGAAAATTAAATTTATTTTTCTGTTTAGCATTGATCTGACGTTCAGTTAGTTAATCAAAATAAACCCACAAGAACATTTTTAATTCTGCCATTATATCCCCCTTTAACTTTCGAAAAAGTGGTAACAATTTGTTTTTAAATTTCCCTACAAAATAATTATCACCAGTTACCCTATCCTGAGGAAATGCAATCACATTATGAAATCTTTTGTGTAGCGATGAAAAATGTTTTTATTGTAATCTCGTATCATGAAAAATATTATAACAATATCTTGCTCTACTTTGTATTGAGCACATTTCTTAAAAAGTAATTGCTATGATCTGTGAATTTTTACTCCATTTGTTCTTTCTCTTATTTGTTCATTTGTTCTTATTTTCCATATTGACATATGTCCGCAAATCCTTCGTTTTTGAGTTATTAAAGTTTACGGTAGATAGCATCAGGTTTCCATGTAGACTAGATTACATTTGTCAGTTGTGTACATTTGTGTCTAATCTGTTTTCAAGGTTTAATGTGTGTAGTAGTGAATTAAATAAGAAGTGTTCCGTTTAACAATGTCAGGATATTTATATCGTGAACAGACAGGTATGATACTCAGGAAGGTGCTGAAGCAAGCTTGTAGGAGTAGGTAGGTGAATTTATTGCCCTGTTCACACTCTTTTCCCATTTATTGAACAGGAATAGAGGTTTATCCCTTGTTTCTTGTTTAGGATTGAGTTTACGGTTGTTTTTAATGTCTTCACATTCTCTTTCACTCAGTATGATTATATAGACACTTGTCCTTGTTTTAGTGTCAGGACCCCGCCCTATATCTTGTAAAAGTATTTTTCATACACACTGTATACACGGAAGTTAAGCAACGTCGGGCCTGATTAATACTAAAATGGGTGATGACTTCGATGTGCTGAGGTAGTGGCTAATGTTTTGAAATTGTTAATCAGAGTACCAAGTTTCAATTTCTGTTGGGAGTGTTATATTCACTTAAGAGCCAAAACGCTTGGAAATGGTATAAACCCGCCTCTTCTTCCCCTTCAGTTAATTTGTAAGGCTTGTATAACTAAACTGTTATTATCTCAAAAGAAAAAAAAGCTTCTTCCCGCGAACCACTGTTCTATGGCACAGACTCCCAAGGGGATGTTTTCCCGATCACTACAATATTAACCTGATCAAGTCTATCCTTACTATCAATATAATCTACCTCTTAACGGAACCCTCTGCTTCGAGTGGCCCTCGGGCTTTGTAAAGGATGAACATTACTGTAAATATATATTCTTTACTCTTCATCCTTCTTCCACATGCCTCTCGTTGCTCCAAAGCTACTTCCACGGAAAGTGCTCGAACGAACTACATTGCCTGGTCCGACCAAAGCAAACCTTTATGGCAAGAACACTCCATGTCAATTACATATTAGCAAATTAGTGGATTCCATGCCTATATGTACATATGTGTGTGTTGCTAGATTGTTTGGCTTTTGTTGTTAATCAACCCTTAGAATGTTTTTTAAATCCAGAACATTTTTTCAGATTGAAATTTCTTTCAATCTAAAAAAATATTCTTGCTTTAAAAACCTTTAAGGTTTGAAAGACCAAAGAAAACCAATTCAGCAACACACACACATATACATATAGGTATGGAATCAACTAATTTGGAGCAGTCATCGTTGATTTTGGGGTCACAGAACCACACGTTTATAATGGACGTCACGAGCTTCTCTTTCGTCTTACAGTCCGAGATCTCCCTGTAAGGCTTGACAGTGTTTTCGTGCAGCGTTAAAATTTTTGTATGCTTACTTGGAGTAACGTCCATCATAGACAATGACCGTAGGACAACTAATCGACAATTGAGACATTAGTATCCAACCTCATTCCATCCGTATTCCATCAGTGAGACGAAAGATACCCTCGAGCAGCTCCTTCCTGCGAACCACTGCCCTGTGGACCGAATCCTAAGAGGATGTTTCCCTCGACCACTACAATCTTAACATACACACGTTATCGTTATCTCCCTCACCCATACACACAAATGGCCTCCTAATTTAACTACCTCGTGTGGCCACCGGGCCTTAAAATGGGTGCCACTCATTGTAAAAAGAAGATATATATATATATATATATATATATATATATATATATAGAGAGAGAGAGAGAGAGAGAGAGAGAGAGAGCGGGAGAGAGAGAATCGCCTGATGAGATGCATTGATACGCATCGAAACACGACTGCAATTGTGTATCGATTTTTACATGTTTTCGGTGTAATATCCTTAAAAGATCTGAATAGCTATTATAACATGACTTCATTGTCAAGCTTATTGAATTTTCCTATACTTGTATTTTGATTGGTCAATCTAGCTTTTGTAACAACGTTTTCCCCTTGTGAAGGATCGTTAATTAATTCGAAACTTTTAAAACCATTTATTTTACATTCAACATCATCACTTGATAAGACACCGGGAGTGTTGAAACAAAATGGCTATTTTTGTAGTGATTTTACAACATATTTATGTTATAATTTTTTACATAAATAATTATATCTGCTTTATTCTGTATTGAGCAGTCTTTTAAGAATAGTAATTATTGGTTATTGTAAATCATTCCCTATACACCAATTATATATATATATATATATATATATATATATATATATATATATATATATATCAATTATATCATGGATATATATATATATATTTATATATATATATAAAGAAATAATTATACATAGAATCAATCAGCAATATTAATGCGATTAATGGCGAAATCACTTCGCTAGTAAAACAATGTATGCATTAAAATAATGTTAATCCATTGAATGATGTGATCCTCATTTATAAAACTGTTGTCAGATGTTTCTAGTGTATATTTGTTTAAAGTTAAGCAAGTACTTTCGAAGATCCATGTCTTCATCATCAGGCTGTAATTTTTTTCCTTTATAGTTAAAACTTGAAGACGAAATAATTGTTTGCAGACCGAAAGATGTTCTTTTAAGAATGTGTTCTTTATTGACGGTTGTAGAATCTCGGAACGTGCGAGTCGCAACGCTAAAGTTCAAAAATTCTAGTGAGAATTTTTATATGAATTTTGTAATATGGTAAATCCACGAATTCTTTTTTTTACAAGTATTTTTCAGTTAACATGACATGAAGTAAGTATATAGTTCAATTAATATAGTGATATGTCTTAATAGTTTTTTTTCTCAGGAATTTCGTACTGCGGATCAATTGTTTCTTATAAACATATTATATTAGGCAGCCTAAATTTTATATATATAGAAATAATCATACATAGAATCAATCAACAATATTAATGAGATCAGTGGTGAAATATCTATCTATCTATCTATCTATCTATATATATATATATATATATATATATATATATATATATATATATATATATGCAAGTTTCATTGAATATGACAGATAATGTGCTCTGTTTATCTTTTTTTATACAATTTCTCATGGTATTTTAGCATTTTTTTTTCTTTTCGGCAGTAAATTATATAAACACTGTTCAATTGTTGATATTTTTTTCGGAGCTCTTTCGGCTATACATTTAGCCATTTTCAAGGTTGAATATATTAATTGTTAACAAGAAATAGATTTTTGTGAGGATGTATTTGTATAATGTTTCATTTTCAATCCACGGTAAAGATATTGTTTCCCAGCGCTTTGAAAAAACCCAACAATTTGGCAGTTTTTATATAATTTATCTACCGAAAAAAAATTATAAGGTCACATGAGAAATTGTATAAAAAACCGTGAGTGAAATTGGGTAAACAGAAGTCTTGTGGGCCGTCGATAGCTGTGTTAGCACGAATCCACAAGTCATCGGGGCCGAGGGATTGATCGTGCTGGCCTCGTGCTGGCTAGATGAAAAAACTGTAACTTAGGTCTGCTCAGCATAGTATGAATCACAGGTGGGCTTTGTGGGTGTTGGGCAAAACACAAATGTGCCCGTGCGAGCGTCTGCAATAAGGATTGGCTAGCCGCCAGTACGAGTGGCCAGCTATTTCTATTTATTTTATATATATATATATATATATATATATATATATATATATATAGAGAGAGAGAGAGAGAGAGAGAGAGAGAGAGAGAGAAAGAGAGAGAGATAGGGGAGAGAGAATAATAGGGGGGGTTAGTAAAGATTTTAATATGGCTTTTAATGAGTTAGCAAGCACATGTTAAGGAATTCGTACAAACCGAAATGCTAAGGTTTCTCTCGCTTCAGTCGTTGAAATCTTATTACTTACTTGAAATCGGACATAGAAATCCGACCTAAAATTCTTTGTTTTGCAGAAGAAATTAGAAGAAGAATATTTGAAGTTGTTGATTAACTCAAGAAGTAAATAGATTCCCGGAAGATAAAAATAATCCCCCAGCATAAAAAAAAATAATAAATAAATAAATAAAATAAAAATAAAACCAAATCAGAGGCAATGCAGTATTCATAGAAAGAGGAAAAGAAAGGCTATTTGCGCTATGAATTTAGAGAAATAAAAGAAAAGAAAAGGTATTAATGAGAGACTAAAAGGAAAAACAAAGCAAGAAAGAAAAAACAGCAGATTAAAAAAAAGAGTCTATTACAAGTTCTCTTCAACTCTCCCTGGCGCCAGTGCTTCATTTTATATATTATTTTATCAATGTTTTATGCTTTACTATTTTTGTAGTTCTTACGTTACTGTGAGAGCTGTGAGTTGCCGACCTGTTAGCCTATTGGCAAAGATTTCACACCATTTTGTAAAAGTCCACTACCACTTTGGTTTTCTTTCTTTCCTCTATATTTTTTCTTTGCCTCATTTTGAGTATTTTTTTTTCTTTAGCCTCATTTATATCTTTATTTCATATTGCGTTATGATTACTTTGCAACAAATGTCTTTTATCATTATCTTCGTTTTCTCTTTCGTTTTTTCCTTTCTTTATTGCTTGCTTATCAAGTATACTCTTTAAGTTTTCGCTTTCTTTCGACACTTATTTTTCTGTGTTTCTTTTATTTCTGTTTTTCAAATATTTTTTGTCTTCATTTAAAACGATTTATCTTTCTTGCTTGCTTGCTTTCTTTTATGCTTATCAATTATTATATTTTTTTGTCTTTCAGGTTTCTTTTTTCCTTTCCTTTCTGTCTTAATTTATAAGTATTTCTTTCTTTCACTCTTTTTTTCCTATCTTGTTGCCTTCTTAATTATCAAGCATTTTCTAGTGGTTTCTTTTTCCCAGTAGTTAAATTCTTTGCCCTGTTTTTTTTTCTTTTTTAAACTGTTTCGTCATTTTAATTTCTTTCTTTCTTTCTTTTTTCTTTTTTTTTTTTTTCTTGTTTGGCTTATTGCTAGCTTATCACGAATTTTCTTCATTTTTAAATATTTCATTGTTTGTTTGTTTGTTTGTTTGTTTCTTTCTTTCTTTCTTTCTTGTTTGGCTTATTGCTAGATAATTTATCAATTATTTTTTTCATTTTTAAATATTGCTTTTTATTCTTTTTCCTTCTTTCGTTCTTTCTTTTCTTTCTTTCTTTCTTTCTTTTCCTTTCTTCTTTCTTTCTTTCTTTCTTTCTTCCGTAATGTCGTGCCCTTTCTTGTTTATCACTGATTTTCCGCCACCCAACACTTTTATCTTGTTTTTGTCGTGTGTTTTCTTTTAAAATATGTTTTCTTTCTTTCTTTCTTTCTTTCTTTCTTTCTTTCTTTCTTTCTTTCTTGCTTTTTCTCTTACGTGTTTGCTTGCTTTCTTTCTTTTTTCTTTCTTTCTTTTTTCTTTCTTTCTTTTTTCTTTCTTTCTTTTTTCTTTCTTTCTTGCTTGCTTTTTCTTGCTTTCTTACTTTCTTGCTTTTTTTCTTACGTGTTTGCTTTCTTTCTTTCTTTCTTTCTTTCTTTCTTTCTAATTGACGCTGTTAATTCTTTCTATTTTGTATTTCTATTCAAATATATCTCACTTCTTCTTCCTATCTTACTCAGATATTCATTCTATTTTTCCATCGTCGTCATTTTTATAAAACATTGAGTTCTTCTTCGTCGTTTTTTTCTTCATTTTTCTTTTTCGTCCTTTTTTCTTAGTAATCGTCTCATTCTGTGTCTTTTTCTTCTTAATTTTCTTCTTCTTCGTCTTCTTTTTCTACTTCGTTATCTGCATTTTTTTTCGTTTTCATCTTCTTCGTCGTCTTCATTTTCTTCTTTTTTCATTTTCATTTTTTCTTTGCTTTAAACTTTTTCATGTTCTTCATCTTCTCATTCTCCTTCTCCTCCTCTTTCTTCTTCTTCTTCTTCTTCTTCTTCTTCTTCTTCTTCTTCTTCTTTTCTTCTTCTTCTTCTTCTTCTTCTTCTTCTTCTTCGTATTATTATTATTATTATTATTATTATTCGAAGTTTTTACATATCTGGTAGAATTCCTCCAGAAATGTTAACCAAATTCGCCTCTTCACAGCCTTTAGATTTTCTACTATTTTGTCAGTATTAATGATTTTCTGACGCTAATTCGTCTAATTTAGATTCTCATGTTTTGAGCATGGTTTCCATTGTTCCGTATATCATCGGCACCATCATGTCACAGATTTTGCATTTCTTGGTCGAGATTCATTAATTCCCATGTGTCGTAACGTATTTCTTCAAATTGTTGTATTTTTTTTAATTATTGAATCCCATCAAACTTTTTTTTTTCTATTTTCTTGTCTTTATTTTAACTATCTCTGATGAAAATATCATTCACCCCTTTCAATTCTTGCGTGATTCCTCATTTTTTTTTGTATTCTCCCCGCCCCAAACCCTTCTTGAAGGCTGTGCGGGTGGTGTAACAAATTGCTAGTTGGAAACAGAAATCAGAGACCTGGATATTATTAGTCTCAACGGATATATATTTGGAAAAAATGTATGTTTCCCTATCTTCTCTTCGTAACTATAGATTAATTAGGACTGACTGGGCTCCCTTGCCTTGGGAAAGAAAACCGTGTACTCAAAACCAAGATAAAGATCAGGCGTTATCCATCTGATTTGGTGTTATTCCTCTAATTGTTAAGAATCCGAAACACAGGGTAATTCCCAAGGAGTCTATCCTATCAGCAGGTGCATCATATCGGAGCTACTCTATCGCCATGTTTTTGAATCAGATCTGGACTATGCAGTAGTTCCTGGTTAGGTCACTTGATGCCAAGATGAAGTGTACTGTTACAGCTGTGTTTTCTGGCGATTAATCCAGGTGCATTTTTTAAAAAACATATATCATTAGAGTATTGATGTCAACCTCGGTTCCATGTTTCCTCTTACAAAAATATGAGCCAAGATTACACACGCATACAGAAACGCCAAACGAACACAATTCATACCAAATGAAGACCCCAATTTCTACATATCCTACACTCTAACATACGGGTCATGCGACCCAAATAACTAGGCATTAAACTCCATCTTCCAGAGGTTAAGAGGTTTTGTTCACATCTGAACTGGACTCAGACATAGTATTCCATCTCAAGAATTCACAACCGATCTAATAAGGCCTACTCACAGAAGATTTGGGAATCAGGCATTTAAAACCGGGTTAGTGGAAAAATCCAGGTAGTGATGGAAAAGAAAGCTTGACAAAGAGATCGTTTCATTGTCACATCTGAACAATAACATACACCACACACCCATTGTTTCATTTATCTTACCTTCCATTTACAGTGTCTCTTATTTAAATAGCAATTATTATCAGAAATACTAAGGTATTATTTGACATGAAATATAAGCACCAAGAAAATCCGGTGAAAGTTTGACTATACATTAGCTAGGCAGGTAGGGTTGTGTTTTAGTAAGCAAGGGGTCGGCAAAACAAAAATCTTTTGGAAATGTTGTTTTAAACCGATATCACCTTTGTCTTGGGGCCTCTATAAATGATGGGTTCTCTTGTGGCATAGACCCCAAAAATTTGACTTCATCTGAAATTGAACTCAACCGTTCTATTCCCGATGAAGAATTCACAATCCCGGGTTAATCACGCCTACTCACAAAAGAAAACCCTCTAAATCAGTGTTTCTATTAGGTTGGTGCAAAAATAATGACGTAATAATGTCGTTTTTTGACGTATTTTTTAACGTCAAAAAACGACATTCTTATCGTCATTATTTTTGCACCAACCTAATAAAATTGGGCGGTACCGATATTTGGGGGGGCAGAGGAAATGTTCAGAGGGCAGTGACAAAAAGCATAGACATCAAGAGGGTGGTAGGGGCGTATTTAACCCATAAAGGACAACACACAGCATTGTATCTTCAATGTATCCATGCTTTCACCTTGAAGTCTATCCCATTTATATATCAATTATTATGGCAAATACTATAACACTAATTTCATATATAAGCACCATTTAGGGAGCTGTTAGGACTGTCCCTATATACGTGGGGGCATAAAATTGTGTTTTGGTACCGAAAGGGTTAGCAAACGCCCAAAACTTTCGGAACCGCTGAGTTAGGTTATGCATCTAGATACACCGATCGCCAATAGTTTTAAAGTCTAAATTTAAAGCAGTTGGTTCAAGTCTTGATAAAAATATCCGTTTCTATGCGGCAAATATTGGAAATCCATTGCCCGAAAGGTTAGCGTTTATATCGATTGAAATAAAATATAGGTTGTCTCGCTAGATCAGTTATAACTGGGTAGTGAGTTCGATCCCCACCGGATGCTCTCTACGTATAGTGAATCGCTTTCAGTTGGAATTTACGCAATTATTCTTTTAAAGTGAATTATAATTCTCAAATCCACACACACACACACACACACATATATATATATATATATATATATATATATATATATATATATATATATATATATATATATATATATATATATATATATATATATATATATATATATATATATATATATAAAGCCAGTGGTTAGAACCATGAGACGCGGGTTCAAATGAATCTCACCATGGCGATTTCCTGATGTTATCGAGGTTGATCCCAGCGTGTGAAACCTTTTTGCAAGGTGCCTAAAACCATAGCACGTGTTGACCCAAGCCTTGTGAATAAAAATTGGGCCGTCGATAGCTGTGCTAGCCCGAAGCCACAAGGCATCGCGGCCGAGGGCTTAAGCGTGCTAGCCTTGTTCCATTTGTTGATCCCGATAGATAACACGCTCTCTCCCACAAAAACTGTAACAAAGGTTGCAGTATACACTACAGGCGGACACACTGGGTGTTGAGTAAACTGTTATAGCGTTTCTAGGATGTATAACCTTTTGACAAGCTAGCAACAATTAATCTAATTAAAGGTCGACTATACATTGGGGGATATTCGAATTGTGTCTGTACATTTTTTGGGGGTGGGGATTAGGGTTGTGTTTTAGCATGCAAAGAAAGGGGCACACCCCTGAAATTCAGAATCACTGCTTTAAATAACATGGTTTTGGTGCTTGTATCAAGGATGCATTCTCCTGCGGAAGAAACTATCTAGACGGAAACTTTGATTTGCCTTTACTGTTCTTCTGTTCAGATCAGGAACTTTCCTTCCACATGCACGGGATCAGCTCATTCTGCTACCCTTAGGAATCCTTTGATAAGAAGGAAATTTTACAGAACTCTCACTTTGTGGATCAAACTTCGAAGAGAATGCTTCTCTGATCACTAAAATCAACCATTTCATAACTATAGTCAACCGTTATCTATTCTACATATCCTCAAATTATACACTATATTTTCCTTCTTAAAACAACTTTTATTTAACCTCTGCCTTGAATGTCTCTTTGCCGTCGTATTGAGTGATAATAGATGGGCATAATCTCTCAATCCACCTTAGACACACTTCTGCATCACATGTACCGCAGTTATGGATGCAAAGGTTGATTATATATTGTGGGTGGCATTAGGGTTTTGTTTTGGCGTTCAAGGGGACGGATACCCTGAAAAGCTATGGGTGCAGAGTATATGATGGATTAATGAATTATTAGGCTACTTAGAAAAATCCAGAATATCAGTTGGAGAACCCATGCAACTTAATATATGGAGAACAGACAAATCTCTCTTAAGCTCAAATAAAAACGATTAGTTTGCCGGCCATTCCCACCGAGCTGACAGGGAAACCGTCTCATCCTCACTCCTATGGCATCCTCCTGGAAGTGTTTTCTCACGAAAATTAACTTTTCCGGGCACCATAGCTAGAGACTTAGGTTTGGATATTGGGGATCTGGAGACAATTATGCAGGTCTGATCAGCGTGAAAAGGGATATTTCTATGGAGTTCCTAGCAACCATAGGGAGGTCGAAGGATGATGATTATGATCATGATGATGATGTTTGCGCTACGGAATTCGTGACGTGACTCTTTATTTAACCTCCTCCGCATCCACAATTTTCGTTCATTTTCAGCTTCTCTTTTTTTTTTCTTTCTTCCAATTTATTTGCACCTCTTAAGGGTGAGTGACGAATACGTAACATGAGCGGCCATTCATCTTTCCTTCGCTTGGCTTGCAGATTAATCGCCAACGGTTTTTAATTGCGAGATGCCATTGACCGTGGCTTGATTGACTTGAAGCTGAAGGCTATCAAGCAGATAAGTCGGTATGCGAGCCGATTGTGAGAAATGGTTCCACATGTGTGTCTCGATTTACTTTCGCTCGT